CACACAGTTTTAAAAAAAACCAACTTAAATCTGCTATTTTCTATACTTGAAATAATTTACTCATCAATGCCTAATTTTCAGTTCAACTGTGGACATTTTAAATATTTCATAACTATTCATGCTCACAAAAGTTTCTTCACTTCATGGTCTCTTTTTGCACTTATAGATAACAATCTTGCTCCTGAGAAGAATGTGTATTCTAAGGTTGTGGGGTGGAATGCTCTATAGACATCTACTAAGTCCATGTGTTCAAAAGTTTGATTCAATTCTGATATGTCATTGCTGATTTTTTGTCTCGTTGATCTGTGTATTTGTGATGGGGGGATTGAGGTCCCCCATTATAACTGTATTAGTGCTTATTTGATTTTTCATATCTGTTAATATTTGTTTTATATAGTTCTGTGCACTGCTACTTGGTGCTTATATATTTATGACTGTTATCTCTTTTTCTTGGATTGTTCCCTTTCAAGGATGTAGTGACCTTGTCTCTCTTAATCAGTCTTGGCTTGAGGTCCACTTTGTCTGCAAATAGAATAGCTACCCCTGCTTTTTTCCCAGTTCTGTTGCATGGAATATTGTTTTCCATCCTTTGACTTTCAGTCTATGACTTTCTTTTTGAATTAAATGTGTTTCTTGTGTGCAGCATACTGTTGGATCTTGCTTCTTGAACCATTCTGTCAGTCTATTTTTTTTGATTGCTGAATTGAGACCATTAACATTGATCGTTATAACTGATACATATTGACTTATCTCTGTCCTGTTATTTTCCTGTTGTTGGCTCCCTTCTTTCCATCTGATTTGTATTATTTATATGTAAATCTTATGTATGAGCTAGAATATAAGTGGGAATTTATTGTCCCATGTTTTGAATTTGGGATGACCTTGTCACTAGCTCTAGGGTATAAAATGTAACAGAAGTAATGGTTTACTAGTTTCAACTGTAGGCCTCAACTGTAGGCCTTTGCACACTTCCTCTTGTTCTCTTGGAACCCTCCCTAGGTACCTTTGAATAAGCCTGGATTAGGCTGCTGGTAGATGAGCCATCACATGGAACACAGAAGGGTTCGCCTAGCTAAGGCATACTATTGCCAGCCAGTCTTCTATCAGTCTAGCAGCTGATATCAAGTATGAGCGAACCCAGATGAACCTATCCAAAATTGGTATTTTGTAGAAACTTTAGCTTAATAAATGGTTTTTATTTTAAACTAATATTTTGTTAAGTGACTTATGCAGCAAAAGCTGCTAAAATATGCACAATGGCTTTATCTCTTAATGTAATACTTATCGCAGTGTGCCTTTTATTAGAAGCAAGTATTTGCTTTTTAATTATTTACTCTTGAAGTGCAGAAATTGTTATGTTATGTTATATATTATATTCATTCGTGTATATACATAGCACTTTTATTGTGCTTTGTACATAGTAGGCACTCAGAGTTTGATGAAATAAACTGAAATGAAAATCAAATTCTGGTGTTCATCAGCAGATAATATTTAACCACAATACTGTTAAAGAATAACCCAGAAACTATTGTTGGACTTTTATAATTCCCCATTATGATGCACTAAAGGTTAGCAATGGTTAGTACTTGGAGTATATATATCACTTCAAGGTGTCTGATTAAATGAGGCTGTAATTTGTTCTTCTCAAACTTTATCATTAACTTAAATTTGGATTTTGATAAAAATATACACATATTTGATATGTGCATGTAAAACTCTACTGCAATCCTGCTTTTATGAACATATGTAGAATATATATGTTAACTGAGTTTTTGATTTATATCATCTAATCATGTCTTTATTAATAACAGGTATTCTAAACCCAGAAATGAAACAAATGAGATGTGTATATTAATATGCTTTAACTGTGAAGTGCTATACAAATGTAAAATATCATGAAAGCTTGTATATTCAAAATGTCATTTCACTTTTTTCCTTAAGAGTATAAAAGCAGAAAATAGAACAGGGGAAAAAAAAATGAATAGTTCTGCTATCCACACCTAATTCACTTTCTAATGAAATTTTATAGTTTTTAAATGACATTCTGCTATTATAGTCTATGCAGAATGATTTCATCAAATATGCCACGTTTTGAATATTTTGAAAATTATCGTTGAATTGACAGTGCCTGAAACTCTAATGCAAGATAAAATGAAAGCATGATTAAAATGACTATACCCATAAACCAGTGAGAAAAATATACCTAATGACACAGAAAGCATATCCTTGCAGCACTGCACTGAGGAAAGCCCCTTCCTGCATGAGTACATATCCTTTATCCTCCCTTCAATTAACTTCTTTCTTCATGTTTTTGGTTTCCATCTAATACATTTGTCAGTGACTTATAAAAGGTATAATGATTAAATCAGTTATTATAAGCTAGGCAATAAAATAAGAATCTAAAACGGGGATATGCATGCCATTCTAGAATGATGAAATAATATATCTGAAAGAAAAATATGGACCAAAGATGGTAATCTTGGATTGGTCCATGAAATCAACCATATAAGGACTAGATGGGGAATAGGTAACAAAGTTACATATAAAAAATGACTCAATTACTAGCAAATAGGAAGTGCTATAAATCAGGAATAGAAAGTCTATCCCCAACTAAGGGTGCGATAATAAAATATAGAAAACAAACAAACAAATAAAAATATAGAGTCCAAAATACAATATTAAGTGAGACAGATTTTTAAGAAATATTTTTCTAACAATCATATTTTTCTAAGAGGAACTTGCTGGTTTGAGGCAGTGAGTCTTTTTCATATATGATACTGAAGCACAGGCCCGGTGCTGGGCAGAGATTTAAGCATCAAGCCAAAGAAAATATTGCATGATTTTTAATATTAGCCTCCACCTCAAAATTTAAAAATTCTACTTTAGGATTCTGAAGAATACATGCAAAAGGGCATTTAATCATGCCTCATTTGATGTCAAGATATCACCTCTAGAAACACACTCCCAGGCTATTCGTAGTTTCAACGTCTCTATAGTTCAGAGGTCTCCTTTAAAAGAATGCCCACTGAGAATGACTAAGATGAATTGCAAAAAGATAGGATGTGACAGAATCATTTTTTCTCACAGTGATTCAACCTACCTGAGGCCTGTTAATACAACTCTCATGCTACTTTAATAGTAACAGACATTAAGTAGATTTTAGGGGATAGAATTCCATAGGAAGAGGCAGTCTTTCATAGTAAAATTATGGACTGTTGGTTTCTACAACAAAAACAATACAAAAGAAATTCTGGAGACAGATAGGTAATAGAAAACAGGAACTTAGGCATAAATGACATTGCTGCTCATCAAGAGCCCACAAATACTGGAGCATTCATCCCCAGCTCAGATTCACTTTATTTTCACTGTGCTTTCTAACTTACTCCCCTAGTTAACACTTCCCATAGGGAGCTAAACCATAAACTAATGAGAATAATCACAGTTCTTTCTTCTCATGAATAGTGAGAAAGGAAAAATTTTTTACTTGTAAATGTTTCTTCGATGAAATTCAAGTTCTGCTTTCCAAGAAGTCAACTGGCCTAGAAATTTCTATGAAGAAATTTCTAGAGAAATTTGTGCTGGGAGAGACACAGCACAATACAACCCCATAAAACCCTAAATCAAAATCCCAATCTCATATCAGCCAACGAGTTAAAACTCAAGTGTATACATTGAGTTGTGAAATCCACAGATCTTAAGTATGGAAAGAGATAGCTCCATTTATGATCACTCTGGGAAACCCTTTATGTGTAAAAGAACACCTACTCTGGCCCCCCAAATATTAAGTTGACACACGTTTCTAAGACGCAGCCTGAATCCTCAGATTTGGTGGGTCAATTTTGTTTTCTGCTTAATAGGGCTTTCCAGAATTGTCATCTGATGACAGATTACACCAGCCATCCACAAGGATTCAGAGGTAGCTCATGCCATCCATTACGGGTTAAAAGCTGTTCCAGCATGAATCGAGTCACAGTGGTAAGGAGACTACTGATAGAAGGGGTCCTACAGCTTTAAGAAATACCCTGGGCATCTACAAGTTTTCAGAATGCAAACTATGTCAGCTCTGAAAACAAGAGGCACTGCATCATTATGGCAGGAGAAACAAAGACAGCCCCCCTTTTAAAACAGACAAAAAAAGATTGTTTAATAGGAGAGAAGCATCAGTCATTGATTCTTACTTCATTCACATTTTCTATCCAACCCCATCCATCTTCAGAGTGAAGAGATGACAGAGCCCAGTTAACTCTCTCCCTTCTTTGGGCCCCCACCCTTTTTGCTCCACTATATCCAAACTGCCAAGGCCTATCAACCTACTCATTTCAATCTACAAGAAGCAGCACTATAGAATGACTCTATGTACTGGGCTTGCCAAGCTCAGGTATGCCTAAGTACCAGTTTTTACCACATTACTTCAGTAGCATTGCCTTTCAGGTTAGCATGACTGGTCTTTACTAATCATCTTCAAAATGACCACTTAGTCACTTACAGCTGACAACATTCTACAAAGGAAGCAATAGGAAGACTTAAGGCAGTGAAAAAAGTCAATGAACCAAACCAACAATCCAGAAAGTAAAATATTTCATTTTTCTTCAATGCTGCTGGCCACATTATCTGCAAACAAAGTTCTCCAAGCAGGCAATCTCTGCATCAGTGCACCTGCTTAGTATTGGCTTGACGAGTTATCTTTTTGCTGTGTCTGCAGAAGCCAACTACAACACAATGAGTCACATCACTTGAGGGTCACTTGAGTCCCTCTACTCCCTGGGTCCCTCCTCCCACCCCCTGCCTTCCCTTCTGCCCACAAAACCTTTAACTCCACCATAACTAAGGATCTCAGATAGCTAAATAAAAGAGGTGGCCTCAAACAGAGGGAAAAATCCTTAGGTCTCCAGTGTGAATCGCCAATGCCAATCCCCCCCCCTCCCCTTTTCCTTAAGACCTGATGGTCTTCAGTCACACATCTTAAAAGAAAAACAAAAAACAAAAACACAAAGACTTACTTGTCTCAAGTCGATGAAGGCCAACTGCAGCGTGTCCTCCTGGAACCCAGGCACCGGGCCGGATCTGGCAAACTCTGTGGGAAAGAAAAGAGGATAAAAAGCGCCTTTAACTAACCATGGACAGGGAGATTGGCAGACAGATGACAGGGAAGACAAGAGAGGCTGGGGGAGAGGAGGACCAAGCTTCTAAGGAGTCATGTCTCTCTCCCTTCAGCTTCTTTGTTTGCCCTTCAAAATTCGTGTCATCAAAACACCATTAATTCCAGAATCCTGACAGCAAGGAAACTGTACTAATTCGACCTGAAATTTATTCCCATGAGCTGCGCTGGGCTTCAGAGTATTTGTTTTGTGAATGGACAAACAACTTGCAAAGGAGGAGGGAGTGGGGGAGAGAAAAAAGTTTTTCCTCTCAACACAATAAAATCTTCGGCTGTGAAACTCTTTTCAGTTCCGAAAGCTATTTATATTTTAGATTGCTGAAGGAATTTTCTAATTTCACGCTTGTCACCTCATTCCCTAAGGATTTATCAAAAAATATTCCCTGCCACATCATTAATTATTCCTCACTGATTATTCATATTATTTCATGAGTGCCAACACATACATTCTCTCTCTCTCTCTCTCTCTCTCTCTCTCTCTCTCTCTCTCTCTCTCTCCAGCAGCCGCCATTCCAATCCAGACCTTGGCTTTTGAGCAAAGGAGATATGAAAATGCCCATCTGACTGAATTTCACTACAAAACTTAAAGGCATATTTGTACATGTCTGTCCTTCTGGTGTGCTCTCTATCCTTGAGTTATTTTCATTCTTCTCTGAAAATTAATTCTTCTCTTCCCTGTACCCTCTTCCCTCTCTTAGGTCAGAGACCACTTGAATGCTATTTGCAATTTGCAGTAGCGCCTTAGGTATAAGCTCAGTTTATGACTTTGGCTTCCAAGTCATTAACAAGAAGATAACTGCACAGGGCTACAGGGACAAATACTAATAACAGTTAAGAATGTCAGATTTTATCATCCCTGAGCCCTGCTTATTATGAAATCCAAAGGTCTTATGTTCCCTATACATATACATACATGCATACAGATCAAATTCCAAAATTGGACTGTTAATATGTGTTAATTTTTGTCTGTGAAGACGAAATGTGAAAGGTATTTAATATTAATCTATCTAAAAAACAACTCAGGTCTGTTCAAAGTAAATATAACAAGGAACGTTTTCCTTTCAAATAATTTCCCTCCAGCATGGAATTTAAGGAACTATAGATTTGCTATCATTTTTTCTTTTGAAAGTAAATAAAATCCATCAAGATATTTGCATATGCCTGGAAAATTACTTTCAATTACTGGATAAATTTAAATGATGTTTAGAATGAAAAAATGAAATAAGAATTTCTGTATAAGAATATTTTTTATCTGGAGCTTCTTAGACATAACAGGTTTTCATAAAATCTTTACCATATTTTTGAAAATAATGCTACCAGATTAATTGTAGGATTATGAGAATACTATGTGAAATGTAAAGCAACTTATTAAACTAATTTAAATATGGCATAAATGTATTATACAACTCTACACAAATGTTTGTATTATAAATATTTCAAATTTAAAAAGCTCATAATTGGAATGAGCTAAACTATTACCATGATTAGTTGCAGAAAAGTTTCTATTTGAGAGGAAAATTCAAATGCTACTTATAAATTAATTCTATCATGTATGCGGCTTAAGTTTTAAAAGACTATAAAGTTCTTTGAATTATAGCTACAATCACTCTTTTTGACAGCCTTGTTAGGTAATCAATTTAATAACCTTCCTATATTTGATGATTTATTTTGAGACTGACAGATTATCCCTATTGATAATACATCTTTTGACTCTCTGTTGCATCTTTTGAAGCATTTATAGTCCTCTGGGACAGTAGGAACCCTACTTGTAACTACTATGAAGATGTTCTACTGTCCCACTTCTATTCAACTCCACAGAACTACCCTGTGATACAAAGTTCAATGCTTTCGAGCTGGCAACACATTCTTGAATCTTTTTATTGGGCATGCTCCCTGGGAGTAATAGATGAAGCTGATGAAACCACTCAGGAATCTGGATGTGATACATATTTAGTTTTCAGAGTTACTTTATAGACCTCATTTTTATGACACACTGAATCTTCTAGGTTCCCAAAAGATTTAGTGGCCTTTGATTTACCCTTTTATAAATCAGAGACCAAAAAAATGACAATTATACCAGGTATGACAAGGAGAAGAGATTAATTTTATTATGAAAATATCTAATTACTGAATATTCAACTTCATATTTGTATCTTTTCTCACTGCTACATGTATATAATTCTTATTTTCTCATACAATCAGTAAACCCTTCAAAGATCATTTCATAAAACACACCAAGTATTCAAAACAGTAAGTGTTAAAAAATACTATGTTTAATAAGTTACATAAATAGCAAGATTCACTAACCGAATATACTTGTTACTGCTAATGAAAATTTCTGGATTGCTGTGGGTAAGGGATTCCTAACCTGAGTATCAATCAGCAGTCTTTTGGAATAAATGAACTCCTTAAGATTACATGCACATAATTTTAAAGGGATAAACTTTGGGGGTTATATCAATTGAAAGTTAAGCCCGTTTCCCAGTTACTAGTTTTCTAGGTTTGCATTAAATAAATTAACCTTTTTATGGTTCAATACCTTTAATGAAAAATTTAGGATAATAAAAGAGCATTCCTTATAGTGTGGCAATAATGATTAAATGAAATAACACATGTAAAACTGTTGGCAGAATGCCTGGTATATTATAACATTATCATTATAATTAGGTTTTTTTGTTTGAATATGGATTTCTCTGCAAAGAAGGTTCAGAGCTTTTACTGAATTCTCAGAGGACTCATAACCTGCAAAAGGCTAAAAAATACTGTTCCATATCTAGGACAGAACAGAAATTTAGCTACCATTCAGTGATGAGTTAGTGAGTTGGCTTTGCAAATGTATTTACAGGCAAGTGTTTAATTGCTTTATTTAGAGAAAGTTCATATGACTAATTACTACTCTATTAGTTATAGCACAATAATTTTCATTTGCATTCTAAAAAATTCAATAAATAATAAAACTGTAAATTCATGACTCAATATACTCTCAAAAATATGACTGTCCTGCTAGAGTCAACTTTTTCTAATGTATGAAAAGAGTTAATATCATGAGAAAGTGAGTATTTTAAAAATAAGTGAAAACTCATACATAGCCTGATTTCAACTGTATAAAATATAATACGCATAGAAACATGACAGTAAGCACTCATTTCATAATATTAATCAAGGCTGCTATAGAAAGGAAGGTTATAAAAGGGATTTTTCTTCTTTATATTTCATAAGTTGTCAAAATTAATATAAATCACTTTTACAACCATATGTGCACATGCATGTACACACATTATGTAGCAGTACTAAATTAGTACTTTCTTTAGTGACAAGAGGTATAGTTTGTTCAAGATTTGGCATTATAGGCAACTAGGATTGGTCTATAAACCCTAATTCCCAGATACAAAAAGAGGGAAACTACACATGGGAGGGGGGCAAGAAGCTTCCAGTCTGCTGTAATGTCCTGATGAATATAAAAATTGATTATATGTATACAAAAGAAGACTCCCTTAAGAGTCATCAGTGAAAGCTTTCCTTCTTTTGACATCACATGAAGGGTCAATGCATGCAAAAGTGGACAAGTAGAACCAATGGATACATGGAAGATATCAGGTTTTCAGTATGTGACCTGACTCAGCATAAAAAAGCTTAGATTTCTGCAATGTGACCTCAGCATCAGCGAGGAAGTCAAGGTGCTTAACATCTAACACAGACAAAACTCTTTATTTGATCAACCCCTGGTTCTTGGGGACTGGGTCAAAGTTCAGATGAGGGTGGCAAGGTGAGTTCCTCTTAGAAGAAAGGTTAAGATTAGGGTGGCTACTGATTAGCGTAAGCCTGTCCTCCAAGGAGCTTGGCTCTCCCCAGCATCTTTATCCTGTCCTATGTAATCATGGTAGTGACTCAGAGTCTAATTTGGTACCAGAGCCTGACTCCAAGTTCCAATTTGCAAATGTGAAATACCTTTCATGAGAAAACTGCCAACTCATTGATGTTTGTGAATAAAATATTTTGATTTAAAAAATTTAAAGGAGATACACAAAATTACAGGAAAGGCATATTGTCAGTGAAGATAAAACAGGAGAAAGGAAGTCACAAACTTAATCTACTTACTAAATATCCAACAACCCCTCATATTCTCATACACATATAAATCTATGAGGTAGAGTAATTTTTCTTAAAAACAATATTACTTTTTTGAAAATACCCTGAAATTTTAATCTCTAATAATCTTCACAATATAATAAAATGAAATTACCAAAGGGAAAAGAAAGAGAACCTATTATTTTAAAAATGTTTTGTAGATTTCTTGCAATCTGATATTAAAATTAAGAAACTCTGTCTTTAAGGGTGGAAAAAACTTTTTTAGATTTTATCTGATATACATGACTGAAGAAAACAAAATGCAATAAAAAAACAGAATACTAAAGTAGAATTAAATGGAAGAGTTGGAGTTAGAAGGGGCTTTGAGAAGCCAAAACAACTGCATTAGTCTGTAACCTGTTATCTAGAGAGGACATTGTGGAATTGATCAAAAACAACTGTAAAAAGCAGAATACAAAACTAATTCTTCCATATTTTTCCAAATTTTCTACAGAAAAAGAACAGTTTTCAAAGGAAATTCTACCTTGGTCAGTACATAAAATATATTTCTGAAAAGCAAAATTTGTACACTGTCTGGGAAATAGGTGAAATAACAATTGTGGAAGAACAACATAATTTATTCAAATAAGAAGAAGGTGAAAAGATGATCTACAAAGCAGCAACTAGATGTCCCCACATAACATTAATATACTACTACTTCCAGTGGAGTTCTAGTTCAGACAATGAACAAGACAGCTCTTGCTGAATGGATCACAAATTTGGTCTAGGCTGACCTACCAGACAAGCAAGAATTACCTGGTACCCCAGAGCCTCAAGTATACTAAATG